GAACTTAAGACGAGAGTACTTTGGGGGGAATCCTAGTCGATATTCAAACTGAGGTACATCGACAGTAAACTACAAGTATAAGTATGAAAGGAGAACAGAGAAGGGGCTGGTCGGTCCGGCATGGGAGGGGAGCGGGATGGTAAGTGCGACAAAACTAAAAGAGCAATGAGGACCAGGGAAATGGAACAGAAGGAATGAATGGAACAGAGGACGGCGAAGCCGGGAGGCAGAATGAATAGGCCGACAATCTAGGCGCCAATATGGTGGCAGATCAGAATGTCAATATACAAATAAATCAAATGTCAATAAAGGAGTAACCAAGTGTCAATAAAGGAATAAACCAAATGTCAATAAGGAGCGGATCAGCGTCTCTTTCAAATGGTCTATTTTCTCCTCTCAATGTTGACCCTCCAGTTAATGTTCTACCCGTTGTAGATAGTGTTGCTGATGTACCACTCTCTCCACTGCCCCCTCCGACTACTCCCACAGATCGATCCACCTCTCTCCATTTCTCTCCGTTTCTCTTCTCCTGTCCCTTCTCCTCCGTCCAATGATAGGACACAAAATAAACTTTTCTGCTCCTATGGGAACGTACCCGCACTCATAGACTCTGGGTCTTCGGACTGCTTCATTGACGACACATTTGTAAAGAAGCTGGCCTTGAAGACATATCAGATTAAACCCCTACAACTACGCCTATTCGACGGTAGCACCAACTCAATCATAACCCGTGCCGTCGATATTCCCCTCCACTTTGCTTCCGGAAACATCACCCCCACAACTTTCTTTGTCACATCGCTGGATGGATCATGTTCCCTAGTCCTAGGACACAACTGGCTTACCCGCTACAATCCGTTGACTGGGTCTCAAGCAGTATTACGTTCCAAACTTCCGAACCTACCAAGACAGTTACTCCAAGCTCTCCCCTGTCGTCTCCGGCACCACTGCCGTCGTCCGACATCCAACCATCTGATGTTCCGCCAGCACCTCAGTCACAGGCTCCCATTCCTCCATTACTGTCATATCCATACAATCCCGACCTCTGCTCCGGGCTCCCGGAACTCCAAACCTGACTTCCGGAGCCCTACTTCCCTTCCGTCACCTTCTCCTTGCCGACTCCCAAGAGGTTATCCCACCTCCGGCTCCAACACCACCTTCGGTCCGACTCTGGAACATTCCGGGTCCGACCCCAACCTCGACACCTTCCAGACAAGTACACAACACCTATGCTCCCGACTCTGGACCTCCGCTCCGGAATCCTGTTTGCGTCTCCGTCTCCGGAACCTCCGGTCTTAGCTCCAACCTCGGACTTTGACCCCACCTCCGCTTATACCCATTGTATTGGTTAGCTCATTCCATTTAATTACGTTTGCCAATATTCCGGAGTTTAACCTCCGAGTTCGGACTTTCCGGACTTACTCCGGACCTTGCAACTATTGCATTGTCCATTTCAATTCCGCTATTCTCCCTCATTCCTATTTGGGCTGCTGCTTCCTTCTATTAAGTCAGCTAGCCATTCCCGACTCCCATTCTCCTTCCTTCCTTCTTGGGCCTTGGCCCTTCATTCCTCCTTTGGGAAACACCATTGAGTCAAACACTTGACCCTCGGTGTTGTTCCTCTTTCCATCTCCCTTTGTCTCCTTTTGTCCTACCCTTGTTCCTTTTGATTCCGGACCCCTCCTTATATACAATGTACCTAGTAACTTGTAACCTCAGTCCGAAATCGACTTGAATTCCCCCAAGAGACTTCCCCTCTGCTAGATCCGAAATTAGGGACCCCCAGGACAACCAGCAATGGCACAGCGCTCTGCCTGAGTCGCTGAGGCCAAGGTCCTTCCACGCTAAGTCTCTGATTCCACTCCGGAGTCGTCCGAATCCGCGCGTTCTAACAGTTACCATCTATCGAGTTCATCAGCCGTTCCGCATTTGTGAAGGCTTGTTGACTTGAAGGATCAGTATCCTTCAGCCTAACCATCCCTTCCAAGGACAGCCGCTTGAGGGCTGCCTCATTCCACACTGATTCCGTCAACCTCTCGGCTGTTCCGAAGGAGTATCACAAGTTTGCGGATGTGTTCAGTAAGAGCAAAGCCTCGACGCTGGCACCGCACCGTGAGCACGACCTGAAGATCGACCTTGAGGAAGGCACTTCACCACCCTTGGGTACTATGTACTTGTCAGGGCCCAGCCTCGGACTCGGAGGCTCCCTGACCTCAACCCCCATCTGGCCTGTCCTCACACTATGTGGGGCATGAGATGTATAGTAAGAGGAAAGATAATATATACACTTGCCTATGCGGGGCATGAGATGAGAAGAAGGGTAAAGGTCTCATCTCCCCGCATGGTTGCTATATAAAGGAATGGGTCACATGCCCACAACTATACAGCTCCTAGAGTTGTGTAGTGTGACCCGGAGGGAACATCCAGGTGGCAGTGCCCAGTAAGTGTGGGAACGTTCTGGGCGAGTTGCTCGCCCAGAACTGTGGCTGTGACCCATGGGAACATTCTGGGCGAGCTGCTCGCTCAGAAAGTTCCCACGCTATCCCATGCGCGCGTGTGTACACAACACAGAAAGGCAACAACAAGGCGACAATGAAGGAATGGAAGGAAGGGATTGGTTGGGGAGTCTGGGGCACCCTAGGGCAGGGTGCTGAACCCTGACAGTACTCTCTCTCTACTTCAGAACTCGAGGCCCTCTGGGCATTCTTAGATGAACACCTTGCCTCCGGGTTCATTTGTCCCACTACTTCCGCTCACACGGCACCGGTCCTCTTCATCCGCAAGAAGGACGGATCCCTCTGTCTTTGCGTCGACTTCTGAGGGCTGAACAAGATCACCAAAAAGGATCGCTACCCACTCCCCCGCATCTCCGACCTCCTTGATGCACCTAGCTGTGCCACAGTCTACACCAGACTCGACCTCCGGCATGCTTACCACCTGGTTCGCATTGCAGCAGGCAACGAATGGAAGACTTCCTTCCGCATGCGCTATGGTTCCTATGAGTGGCTTGTCATGCCATTCGGTCTCACAAATGCACCTGCAGCGTTCCAGTGATTCGTCAACACGATCTTTGCCGACCTCTTGGACGTTTCTGTGGTAGTCTACCTAGATGACATCCTTACCTACTTGGAAGACATGGCTTCACATCAGGAGCATGTCCAAGAAGTTCTTAGGAGACTCCGCAAACACGGCCTTGTTCAATTTTGTTCAACAATCATACAACATGTTGTCCGCTGACCAATGCATCATTTGGGACACTTTGTTGCATGCCATTGACAATCTCTCCTCGTGCTCCACACTTCCAAACCTCTTCTTCGTAACGGGAAAAGCAGGAAGAGGAAAATCTTTCATAATCCATTGTCTAATAGCTCATCTCCATTCTCAAAGTCAAATTGCTGCCATAGCGGGCACAACAGCTCTATCTATTTCAAACATAGACCATGCCCGAACAGCTCACTCCCTATTTGGTCTACCAATAATCGATGACAAGACAGCCATTGAAAGGTTGCTTACTTATTTGGGGACGGTAACGTTCCGTTCCCCCATTCGCCTCAGGCCTCAGTTAGTCCGTCTAAATATAAGCTTAAATGTGCTCTATATTCAACGGGGTAGAGGTAAAAGGCTACCGGGCCTTTACAACTACTCCGAGGTATATATATGTAAATTACATATCTCGGCACAAATAAATAAAGAAATAACCACATCACTATAATGGGAATTATAGCGATGCAACATAATATAAATATCACTATAATCGGAATTATAGTGAAGTAAGGTTAATCCCTTACAGCCATCCACATTGAATCCCGTATTTCTCCCCATTCCTCCCACGCTGAATACCTCCGGCATGCAAGTGCCATCATTTGGGATGAACTCCCAATGGCCCATGTCACTCTCATCGAAGCCATCGACTCCTTATTGCGTCAAATTATGGGAGTCAACATTCCTTTCGGTGGAAAAATAGTCATTGGAATTGGAGACTTTCGCCAAGTGGCTCCCGTCGTCAAAGGAGGTGGTGCGTCTGACACTTTCCTGGCTTCAATTCTATCCTCCACTATATGGCCTCAGTTCCGCATTCTCGAACTCACGATGCCTATAAGAAATGTGGAAGATCCGGTGTTTGCAGAGTTCATCGACTGCATTGGCGAAGATTGCTCAGGCAACCGCGTCATACTGGACCACCATCTCTCACGTTCCTCAGACATCAACATCATACACGAAAGCCTCTTCACCCCGAATGTACTACTGGATCCTCCATGTGCAGTCAAATGCACTTTCCTCACCCCACTCAACTTCGATGTCGATAACATTAATTCCGTAGTACTCAACAACCTGCCTTCGGATTTATGTAAGTAAGCGTACTTCCCAGGCTTAAAACCACTCCCTCACTGTTCTTCAGATGTGTTTCACGCTTTCGACTCGGTGGTTGAGACCAACGACGGAGGCTCTCCTTTAGACAACATCCGATCTTCCGAAGACTTCCTCGCACTAATGGAATCCCACAGTGCACCCAATCACGACCTCCCACTGAAAGAAGGAGCCATTTGTTCCATCATGCGCAATCTGTGTGTACAGAAAGGTTTGGTCAAAAACCAGCGAGTGGTTATCACCAAACTGCGACCAAGATACATTGAGATTAAACTCCTCAATCCAGGTATGCGACCCGACTCCACTCATTGCATACCACGTATCATCTTTGACTTTCGACCTCCTTTCCTCAAATTCACCATTCGCCGAAAACAATTTCCCCTGCAACTCACCTACGCTACTACATTCAATTCATGCCAAGGGTTAACTTTTGATCAAGTAATCATTGATGGAAGAAACGACGTATTCGCACATGGCCAACTGTACACTGCTCTGTCTAGAGTGCGTCAGCGTAAGGATGCGACCATCCTCATTGACGACGACAAGCCCAGTGTGGCTAATGTCGTTCACTCTGCACTGCTACCGCGAGTCTAAACACACTCCCCATCCATTGCCGTTCTTCCGAACGTTGTACACTCCCGCATGTAATATACTAAAGTCAATGGGATCCATTGGTAAACCGTGCCCTATCGTTGTACGCGCCCACAGTACGGCACAATTCAAAGTTTAGACTGTATTTGCCCGATGGCCTGAAAACGGTGCTCCAACTGAACACAGCCGTAGGTTCACCTGCTGCTGTTCTTGGCTATGAATAACGTTGACCCGCATTCAATTTTTATAATCGAGATAACTCGCTAGCCTCATCCTGGGCCGGTGGAAAAGTGTGTTCACGACAAACAAAATCATGAGAAACAAGGATTATCTGAACGACGGAATTCAATCATATCACCGAGTGCATTCACATTAACGAGTTTGGGATGATTTGAGCCGGGCTCTTGTGCGTCTTTCCCTGAGATTATAGTAAGATCGGCAAGATGGTATCAGATGGTATTTACACTCACACCTTCAGTCCATTCAAGATATGCTTGAAGTTCTGTTCCACCGAATTCGATGCCGATCCCATAAGTCAACTGCCAGTATGTTCCCTTGGGTCCCTGACATTTTTTCAGAAGTCCAGACAGCCTACTCAGGTCCACGGAAATGTTGCACACCGCTTCAAACCCTGGAACAAGGTTTCCTGAAGGGATAACATTTAGTCATTGATCTACACGAGGTACCATCTGATATTTACCGTTCTCATCGATTGAGTAGTACGGCGTTTCCCGACCAATTAGGGTATTGGCATATATCGCATCCGAGACACGTCCAAGCTTAGGGGACTTGTAATTCCGGGACACAACCCTCAAAAACCCTTCATCCGGCTGGAGGACGTCCCCCTACGATAAATCATTACCAATATGTCACATCATTTGTCACAATTTCGAACTTACGCGGTTGACGATAGGACCCCATACCCCGGAAATTGCACTGCGTCCATCAATGTCTTTCCAAGGTAAGCGCCCACTGTGCAGCGGGTTCTTTGAATCGTATTTCACGTTCAAAGGGCTTCCGTACTGGAAGCGGCAAGCTCGTGCAACGACTGAGGATGTAGCACGCCAAATAACTGCACCATCCGATACTGCCTTAGCTCTGCAAGGGTTGATCATGGAGGAGTCATGAGTGCAAGAATCGAAACTCACGTGGAGTCGTTTGCAGTAACAATTTGGGTGTCTCTTATCTCAAAAACCCTACTGAGCATTTCTCTCAGGTATAGATTCTCCCCGAATCCTCCGACAAGCAGAATATGCTTGCAGTTGATGCCAGACATTTGTTCCTTCAGAGAGTCGACAATCTGGTCTACGGCCCGTCGGAAGAATGTCTCAATGGTTGGTCTTCAGGACGCTTTTATCAGCGAGACCTAGTCTGTAGAGATGGAGATAAATTACCCATCCAACATCATCCGCCCACGCTTCACACCAAAAGTCGGATTGGTGTATCGACTCTGCCCTATGTCCACACTTCCTTTACTGGTCATGTCCTTGTCCTGAAAGGCTTTCTTGGCGTTTGCCTCAAAATCGTCTACAGCATGCTGGACAAAGTCCTTAATTTCATCAGGCCGAAGACTCGCCTCTGGGTTTGAGAATACGCGTCTGAAGTACTCTTCTGCAGCTTTATTCACGAATATACCACCTGCCTGAATACAAGCTGATGGTTTTGCTTCGCGAAGCTGAAGCTGTGGACGGACTACCGACACCGAGTAAGTGGTTGTGTCGACTGTCGACCCACCTGTCTCAAAGTTAACTTAACATTGCTATTCGATGGAATCAATTTTGGCAACCCACCCGCATCGCAGACAACAAATTCCACGTTCGGCTATTTGGGCGGAATGATGAAGTCCTGTCGAGTTGCGAATGGCAGGGAGCATTCACCTTAAGTTGTGATACTAGGTCGGCATGAAACATGCAGTAGTGGACAGAAGCTTCTCCTTCGGTGACAAAGAAGATTCGGGCATGTGATTCAGATTCGGGGACGATATTAGCGGCCACTACCGCTCTACGCATAAAGTCTTGTTCCCTCAAGCCCCATCCATTCGGGTGAGCAATGACAACATCGGCAGAGGGGATATACGTCTTCCATACATGAGCCCCATCGAGGACACGGTGAATGAATGTGTCTTGAGTGTGCTTAATGAGATAACCGAACAAGTCTTCGTATATCGTCGAAAGGGGAACACCGTCAGGCAAGGCTGTGCCAAAGGCGGCCAAATTGGTGAGTGTTGGGCTGGGGAGGCGACGGCGACTAGCACATACGATCAAGAGTCAAATTATACTTCTCCTTCATAGTCTGTGGGTGCAGATGAAGTTTGAAATGCTTTGCGAGGGTCCATCCACTGTCCTCCGCTTCATCTTGCATTTCGGCGCTTAATGCCTCAGCGCCAAAGGCGGTAGCCTGATTGAAAAGGATATGCAAAAGCGGTCAGAAACAGCGTACACACATATGAATCACGCAGCGGTGAAGCACAATTACTTTCTTACTATTGTCGTACCATACCAAGGTCGGAATCTTGCTTTCGCTTCGGTAGGCGCCCTGCCCTGGCCATGCATTAACTCTTGAGACCGCTTGGGGACCGCTATTGACGCACAAGGCAGATGAAGCAGAATGCCACACGAAAAGTAGAAACAACGCACCCTGGAAAGAGATATGCATAAGATACTCCAGAAAATGTTGTACCAATATCGAACCCCAAAATGATTTTATGCTCGCCCATCCACGGAGATGCAGCAAAAGCATTCATTAATCGTCTTGATCACTATCAGGTGGGCGTTTATGGGGGGTTCGGGCTTGGCCGAATTTGATACCCTTTCTTGGTATCCGCTTTGTCAAGACACCTCCAGGGGCATAGCTTCCCTAATATAACTGCAGTTTAGCGGCAGATCCTGACCCAATTCGTCGTCGCTCGTAGACACGCGACCACGAACTGGGTAAGAGTCTGGTTGATTTGTTATATTGTTTACTGCCAGTGGTGCGCGATGGGCGAGCAGCGAAGTAGCGTGGCGACGACCCCGACAAACGCGTCGAAACCCCTGAATTATCGAGCAACCCGGTTCAAGTACAAAGAGTAACCTTAGGTAGTGAAAAGGGGATAGTGAGTAACGCAAAAAGCACAGAAAAATAGCAAGAGAGTCGAGCAGAGAACAAAGGCAGGTTACAACGGCCGGGAAGAAACCGAAAAATGAAACACGTGGGCCTGGATCCTACCTCACACCTTCATCGAGAGCCGACCAGCTAGCAAAAGAAGGCGCACGACTTAGACCAGCCCGACCCAACTTTAAATCACTCTCGTACATAGAGAGCCTGCGCAGGAGAGAGATGGCCGAAACATGGACTCACCGATGGACGAACACACCGAACCCCCCGAGATCGGGCTTCTACGCAGCGAACCAACTCGCACCGAAGCTTAGACCCACCAAACGATTCAGAAAACTCGACAGAAAACCATTCAGCCGCGTAATCCAATTCCGAACAGGACATGCTCACATCGGCGAGTACTACCACCGATTCGGAATCACAACGGAGAATAGAGCATGTCAATGCGGTAAATCAACACAAACGAGGGCCCACATTCTGACGGAATGCCCCCGGACAAGTAGACACAGATACCTACTAGGACGCGGAAACCAGACGAAATTCCACATCCTCTTGGGCAAGATGAAAGGCATAGAAAGGCTTGCCAACTTCATCAAAAAGTCCAAGACAGGCGGCAAACATTAAACCGACGACAACAAACACATCGCGAGGACCACCGCCTGACCGACTCACAGGACAGACGAAGCAGAACAGAATTTGCAGGGGGACAGATGGAACCGTTTCCCAGTTTCCATTTCTTATTTTATTTTTATCACCACGACAATACCTATGGACACCACAGAACCCGGGGATCATTGACACCCGAATACACCAACCAGAATACCATCATGTATAGATATTCCCCCCATGTACGCTCCGGTGTTAGGACTAGGGGTGCCATGGTTCGGTTCGGTTCAGTTCAGAGGCAGAATTCCGCGAACCCGAACCTGAACCGAACCATGGTTCAACAACGGTTCGGTTCGGGTTCGAACCGGTTCGAACAGACACCTATAATTACAGCGATTTACGAAGAATTAATATATTGTCTAAGCTGCAAGAAGTATTACACATCCTCTGCACGCTTTGCTGCCTCCTTAGCCTCATATTCTTTCCACCTTTTGAGTTCGTCTTGAGCAGCCATCCTTCTTTTTCTGCTGATATCGTAGCAGGTTGGCTTTGGATGCATCCAGTTGTTGATGTGATGGGGTCAGGTCAACGTCTGATTTACGAAACGGTTCGGTGGTTCGGTTCGGTTCGAACCTGGTTCACAAAATTCCAACATCATACCCGAACCGAACCATCTCTGAACCGAGGCCGAACTGAACCGCGGTTCTGGTTCATCCTGGTTCGGTTCACGGTTTGTTCACGGTTCGAACCGGTTCACCGTGAACTTCGGTACCCCTACTCAAAGGTCCTCAGGTGTAGCTCCCCTCTCAGCCATTATGCTCCATTGAACATCTCAGTCCCTGCCAAAACCCAAGGAATGAAATAATGAGAATCAACCAGTTTTTTCAGTGTAAAGGAGATCTTCCCCCCACTTGGTTCGCTCGGATCATGAACTACCGAAGTGCCGTTTCCGCTGGGTGGAGGGATAGTACTGGAAACGCTCGATATCTGGGGAATGATGCTCCGGACTGAGGCAGAAACCGTTTCGCTTCTTGGACCTACTCACTCACCTCAAGAAGCCATGGTTGTGCGATTGCCAGCCACAGGCACCACAATGTCAGGCTCCTCACGCAGACTAAACTGGCTTGACTGTTGAACCTGGCTGCATGTGCGATATGGAGGAAGATGACGAATTGGAATGACACCGAGACAGGGAGTGCCTTCAATGCCATCCATTGGATGAATGAAAGGTTTTTCGATACGGAGTGATGGCTTCCGCTTGCACCGTCTGGTAAGACAGTAACCAGTTTAATGCAGGGAATAGAGTAGGAACGGCAGGATACGCACCAGCGGCGCATCTTTCTGCGCTCCCCAGTGGATTATCAGCGGGCACACTAAAGACACCTCTCATAGGACCTGGCCCTCTAGACTTAGTGATAATACACCACCGCCATGAGGCCCCCACGAACGCACATGGCAGGTAGGCAGGGACGAGGGTGCCGGAAGCTTTCCAGGTGGTCAAATCTTTGGTCCTTCTGTATTAGCCATTTGCGTTGCCGAGCGAGTTTGGCAGTACGAGCACCGACAACTGGTGTGGCGAGGCCGAAAGAGGTGTTGGTGTGTTCATAATCGAAACTATAGCTTCAGGAACCAGAGCGAGCCAAAGAGCGAAGGATGTGCAAAGAATCATTTGTAGAGGACGGACTGGGAGTCTCGAATTACTTAATATGCAGTCTCGAAACGTCATTCTCCCCTGTCAGCCTCCAACTCATCTAAACCCTCAAATGCAGCATCCGTCTCCTAGCCCGATGAGTGAGCGGGCGATTCAGTGTCTAGTGTTAAATTTCTTGGGATACAAGCGTATGCTGAGGCCAACTCACGTTGTTGATGTTGAGTCTTGCGGCGCTAAGATTTACTTTGTTTCCCTTTTTTGGATCAGTTGTTTCTAAAGTCAGTGCGCATTGATAGCGCCTGACTATAAAACACCAATTTTTGGACCTTACGACTTCTCCTCAGTTCACGCATAGCGGACTGAGGTGAGTCTAGGTTTTCTCCTTCACTTATGTGTTTAACAACATGTATCTAATATTCGTACACCAGCGACAACATCGCTAGGTGATTACTCCCTACATATTTCTAGTTCACGCATAGCGGACTGAGCGACAACATCGCTAGTCCGACATTTTGTCTTACATCTAGATCTTCTTGAACTATGGGCCAAGGGGACGCAGAGGTTGGGAGGATAATATAAGTGCTCAAAGTCTGCAATGGAGATAGCTTGAATCTCCATCAGGAAAGCATGTCGGATCACCCCACCGAATGAGGGTAATTGTCATATCCATACAATCCCGACCTCCGCTCCGGGCTCCCGGAACTCCAAAACTACTCCAGAGCCCTACTTCCCTTCCGTCACCTTCACCTTGCCGACTCCCAAGAGGTTATCCCACCTCCGGCTCCGACACCACCTTCGGTCCGACTCCAGAACATTCCGGGTCCAACCTCAACCTCAACACCTTCCAGACGAGCATGCAACACCTATGCTCCCGACTCCGGACCTCCACTCTGGAATCCCGTTCACATCTCTGTCTCCGGAACCTCCGGTCTTAGCTCTGACCTCGGACTTTGACCCCACCTCCGCTTATACCCATTGTATTGGTTAGCTCATTCCATTTAATTGCCTTTGCCAATATTCCGGAGTTTGACTTCCAAGTTTGGACTTTCTGGACTTACATCAGACCTTGCAACTATTGCATTGCTCCATTCAATTCCACTATTCTCCCTCATTCCTATTTGGGCTGCTGCTTCCTTTCCATTCAGTCAGCTGGCCATTCCCCACTTCCTTCCTTCCTCCTTGGGCCTTGGCCCTTCACTCCTCCTTTGTGTCAGGGCACAGCCCTTGACCCCACTCACCCTCAGACACCCTCACCCTTTCCCTAACCACCCTCTCCCCACATTTCCCCATTCCCCCTATCCTTCCCCCCACTGTTTCACGCAATGATGCGTGCATGTGTGAACCTGTGGGAACGTTCTGGGCAAGCGACTCGCCCAGAAATGTACAGCCATGACCATGGGAACATTCTGGGCGAGCAGCTCGCCCAGAACTTTCCCACGGGTCACACCCATTATGGAAAGTCGGCAGCAAGCAGGAACTGTATAGTTCCTAGGGTCCTTTTGTGTCGGCCTCACAGGGGGCTGAGAAGCTTACCCTTCTTCTCAGCTCATTCCCTGTGAAGGCTGAGGCTAGTCCCCTCAGTGACTTCGAGGAGCTAGCAGCTGGGGAGAGCACCCCAGCTTCCACACCCGGCCTTGCCCTCCAGCCACTCCCAGCTGGGGTCCGGATCCTGACACTTTGGGAAACACCATTGAGTCAAACCCTTGACCCTCGGTGTTGTTCCTCCTTCCAGCTCCCTTTGTCTCCTTTCATCCTACCCTTGTTCCTTTTGATTCCGGACCCCTCCTTATATACAATGTACCTAGTAAATTGTAACCTCAGTCTGAAATTGACTTGATTTCCCCCAAGAGACTTCCCCTCTGCTAGATCTGAAATTAGGGACCCCTAGGACAACCAGCAATGGCACAGTGCTCCACATGAGTCGCTGAGGCCAAGGTCCTTCCATGCTAAGTCTCTGATTCCACTCCGGAGTCATCTGAATCTGCTTGATCTAACAGTAATCACTCGGGTTCAGGTAGAGCAACTTGGCTGTATACTGGGCGAGCCACCACGCCACATGAATCACGTCATCATCCCATTCCACTCTTCAGATTGTGGTGTCGCTTATCACATTCAATTAGCACGCTGGCATCACATCGATTCATGAGGATCAACATTAACTTCCTGAAATATCATAGCCGAAAACAGGCGGCACAGTGTTTTGGCCAGGACCACCCTGCTTTTGGTCAGAGGAACCAGTCAGTCATAGAGGAAGGGTCTCCAAGGCAGGGAGCGACGGTCCACGGTGAAGGTGCAGGGCCAGCCATCACAATGGGATGGGATAATACATTGCTATTTAGTTACCATGGGGTGTGTGTGTGTGTGTAGTTCTCGATATTTTTACTTCCCATACAGGCTGCCCGCAAGGGCACCAAGGGGAAGGGGCTAGGCCCAAGGCATATTATCATACATGTTTTCTATACTCAAGTTCCACATGATTCTAAGCTCCTGGATAACACCAACATTGTTTGCCCATGCCCAGATTCGCCACTGAACAATCCAACTTCTTTTGAATTGTGATGGTGGTAGACCATATCACCACTCCCTGTGATTCCCTATAGAACGTCTGGGCCATGTCAATTGAACTCCTAACTCCTGGCCGGTTGTCCCATGAGAGGCCCCTTTCAGGTAGTGAATAGAAGACTTAGTCATATGATATGAACCTTTTCTATTCTCAATGTAATCGGTAGTGGAGAAGCCGGTGACTAAGCAATCATGTGACCGACCCTGGAAACTGTTGGCCAGATGCATAAACATGTGCCTCTTGGTTCTTTGGGGAATTGCGACCACCTGGCAGAGAGTTGAACCCACATGCCCTCAATCGGTAAACACCAGCAAGAGAACGGTAGGCGGGTGTTACCACTATACCACCACTCCTCCCCTAGTTACTGTGGGGTACACTTGACTCGGGGAAGGTCAGGTCGGGTGCAGCATAATAAGATTCAATGCAGTGAAGTCCAAACCGTAAAAATGGGAACAAGTGGTAGGAACTCAACTAGAATGGACTGAGGCAAGGTAGCTGTGCTCAATGGCCGATCAACTTGGGCTCCGTCCTAGCTGATTTCACCTACCTGGTTTACACTCTGCATCAGGGTGAATTGCTGAGGCTTGCAGTTAAGGCAAGCCCGAGCCTGCTGGGATCCTCAGATGGGAGTGGGCATGGACGGAATTCTGAATGTTTTGACCGAGTTCCTCATGAACCAGCAAAGTATAGTCAAATGCCAGAGTGGCAGCAACTGCGATTGATGAAATGAAGACAACCCTGCCCCAACTGGTGCCCTTTCCCACTGCCATGCGTACAGATTCCTTCAATTGACTCCTTGGAGTCAGGGAGGAAACCCATATGTCTGTTGTCTGCTTTGGGTCGTATATTCACTTTGTAATCTGACACCAACTACACATGCAGATACTCCGAGAATAGGAAGCGTCATCCCATAGGAAGTCCATGAAAAAGTGACGAGAAATGATGAGGTTTAGCACTCAAAATACCAGTTGCGGATTATTGCCATAGAATATAAACTAAATCCCCAGGCACATCTCACGACAAATGACACAGGAAGTGTGGCTTGCATGTCTTTGGCTATGTTAAGGTGCTTGGAATGAGTCAACCTACATCAGGAAACCCCCGAGGCTGATTGAAGTGGTTGAGAGCAATTCAATCACTCAATCTGCCCAATCTGCCCAATCGACTACTCTCAATCATCTCAATCACCACAACCACACATGGATACATCCATGTGTGTGAGTCCATCATTCGCATCCAGGTGCTGTACAGTTTTGTCATATCCATACAATCCTGACCTCTGCTCCGGGCTCCCAGAACTCTGAAACTGACTCTGGAGCCCCACTTACCTTCCATCACCTTCTCCTTGCCGACTCCCAAGAGGTTATCCCACCTCCGGCTCCGACACCACCTTCAGTCTGACTCCAGAACATTCCAGGTCCGACCTCAACCTCAACACCTTCCAGACGAGCACGCAACACCTATGCTCCCAACTCTGGACCTCCGCTCCAGAATCCTGTTTGCGTCTCTGTCTCGGAACCTCCGGTCTTAGCTCCGACCTCGGACTTTGACCCCACCTCCACTTATACCCATTGTATTGGTTAGCTCATTCCATTTAATTACCCTTGCCAATATTCTGGAGTTTAACTTCCGAGTTTGGACTTTCCAGACTTACTTTGGACCTTGCAACTATTGCATTGCTCCATTCAATTCCGCTATTCTCCCTCATTCCTATTTGGGCTGCTGCTTCCTGTCTATTCAGTCAGCTAGCCATTCCCCACTCCCATCCTCCTTCCTTCCTCCTTGGCCAAGTGGGTGAAGTAGAGGAGTCACGCTGGGCATGGTGCCGGAGGCAGACTTGGGGCGGGGAGTCGGCCAGGTGCAGGGGAGCCTAGGGGCAAGCAGGGGAGTGAGCAGGGAGTCCTCAGGGAGGATAGGGCTGAGGTCGGGGCTCGCGCTCACGCTCGTGTAGCGGGAATGGGCTCGGGCGGCATCAGGACGAGTGGCTAACGGGCTGGAATGCACAGCCATGACATAGGGTTGTTGGCGTCGACCGGAGGCAGTGGAGAGAGATTGGGAGGGCTGGTGGAGGTCATGGGAGTCGTGTATGGATAGAGCAGAGGGAGGTGGAAGATCCGGGATATGACACTCTCTTCACATGCAACACCAAATCAACAACTCACAATACCCAAACAAACTGAGCTGTGGGAACTGCATGAACAAACATGATGATGTGTGTCTCTTTTTTCTTTTTTTTTTCCAGTTGCATTCACAATGCGATGTTTTTTTACTCCACCCTAGATTGTAAGGAGTGGTAACCCCACCCTTCATTCATTATCTTCTTGTATATTTGTCTCGATTTAAACATGTATAAACAATGTATATACAATAACATGGGAAGGAAGAAAACTCCTTTTCCTCCCCATCGTTGATAATTAAAGTTCCATACAGCTCAACTTTATTGACGACCTGAGGATTGAGGAGAACTGGGGTTGGAACCTACACCAACCCCTTACAGCTGGGCAATTCACTTGCTTTCCCTGCAAGCCTACCTTCGGGCCTATCCCTCCTTCCCATTTCTAGGTTATAGCCTGCCATTCTGCTAACCCTGTAACCCAACTCGTCGGTAATATTCAGTCGGCTAACAGGTAACTCCATTAGCTCTGCTCCACTCGGCCCCGCCATTCATGGGCCTGCCCTCTATGTAACTATATATACATAACTTGTAGATAGGTTACACCCTAGTGATAAAATCGACTAGAGTTATCCCCCTTTTAGTTCTCACTGCCAGTTAGTAAATTAGGGCATGGACATGTAACTAGGCATAGCACTCTTGGTCTAAGTTGCTGAGGCTGAGGTCCTCTGCCATGGGGATGTCTCCCTCATCCTGCATCCAGTCTCTAACAGTATTTTATCACTCCCTGACAGTACACATCTTGTATGGCACCCAGCCCCTCGCACTCGTTCACAACTACATACATTGGTTCCTCACTCAGCCTCCCCATCTCCTGAACCCTCGCAGCCTGGTCCTAGTCGTCTGGTGAGAAACCCAGTTGAGTTTCGTAGCTTCTCTAATTTAGAAACCCCTCTCCTGTCGACTCCGATCATGTGCCCCATCAGAAATCGATCACCAGTTGCAGATTCTGACTTCAGAGACACCACTGAACAGCCTGTAGATCCAGTCCACTTCTTTGGACTTGGCTCCAAGGTCCCCAACTTCGTCGACCCCCCTCCTGCTGATCCTCCCATCCCTACTGTCCGAGTTACCAACGATGCCAAGCCCATTCCCAACGTAGCTATTACACAGCTAGCCCAGGCCATCACCAGCTTGGCCCATCACACCAGATGCCCACCTCCCCCACCATCTTCCGCTCTCTGGACCAAGGTCCATGAGCCTGAACAGTTCAATGGAAAAGACCCCCATGAACTCCAAGTATTCTTGGTCCAGTGTGAACTAAACTTCCAGGACTGCCCCCTTGCTTTTGCTAGTGACTGCGCCAAGGTTATCTTTGTGCAGTCCTACCTCAAGGGGATGGCTCTTGATTGGTTCAAGCTGGACCTACTGTTCGACCAAAATTCCTTACTTCGTCCTCATTGGATGAATAATTACCAGGAGTTCATCAATGAACTCCAGACCAACTTCGGCCATCATGATCCTGTGGGCGACGCCAAAGTCCAACTTATGACCCTGGACATGAAGGACAGTCATCACATCAACAAGTACATCATCGAGTTCAATCGACATGCATCACAACTTCACGGTTACAGAGAAGCCGCGTTCTGCCATTTTTTCTATAATGGATTGCCGGAACGTATGAAAGATGACATTGCCAGGGTAGGGAAACCATCCACCCTTTCGGAACTTTGCACCTTATCACAGACTTTTGATGCATGCTATTGGGAGCGTAAATCCAAAGTAACTCGTCATGTGAAACCCTCCACCTCCAATGTCTTCAACAAGACCACTACCGCTTCCCACTCCGACACTGTTCCTTCCTCCTCCTCGTTCAATCCTGCTTCTGGTAGCAAGCCTCTGAAGGACAACAAGAAGTCCGAGGCCAGCTCCACTAAGCCAGATCTCTCATCAAAACTCGGAGACAACAGCAAGCTCACACTGCAAGTGGGAAAGAATGGGCTGAAGAGGCTGCAGGGGCACACAGACCTCTGAACCTGAGCAGACCACCCTCACACACACACACAGGTAACGAAGGGGGGAGGAGCAAAACTGCAGCATTGACAGACTCACTGGTGGACCTTCCCACTAGGTCCGGAAAACTCAAACTTCCGTCAAAAACCAACTAAACTTCCTGGTGGACCTTCCCTAGGGCCGAGCAAGGCATCCTGCCTTCTCAACGTCACCCTAAACCTGACTGAACTCGTTCACATGCTCCCAGATGTGGTACTGTCGGACTGGCACTAAAGCGGGGAAGGAGGAGAAGATCTCTTATCATACTAAATACATGCTTGTATATAACCGAAGCTAATTTCCGAGCAATCCGACGGTGTTAGGGACGGATAGAAACGGACAGAACAACATAGAACAAAGAAAACAACAGAAAACATAAAAAATATATGGGTGCGGCCACACAATCGATAGAATTTGATGATCTCCACAACGGCTGCACCAAATCTCCTGATATTAGACTTGTTCGACTTGTCTTGACGGTAGCTTTCCAACGATACCTAAGGCGTCTGGATCGGAGAAGAACTGGGGGAGATATGGTGAAAATACGAAAGCGGCCCAATAGGAAACTAAGTGGTCGTAACCTGGTCTGGAAAAATATCAAAAAATACAGAGATGATGGGGGAAGTGCAACGGGCTTTGGGGGGCTGGGGGAATGTGTGTTGGGCCCCAGGTAACGTCTGTAGACCATTATATAGTGCTGTTTGGGTACTACCAGCTCATCCCTCCTACAATGCCACAAGAGCATAAGCGTTGTCTCGACAAGAAACTTTGCATGTTCTGCAGACAGTCTGGCCACATGGTCAAGGACTGCCCTAAGTCTTCTTCTCGCGCATCCAAGGCCTGCACAGCCAGGACCAAAGAGCAAGGATCCACTTCCGCAGAGGCAAAAATTAGTCCGCACCCCTGTGGACGCTGTACGGACCAGGGGTTGCAATTCTTCCCTCCATGCACTCAAAGAAGTATGCCTAAATGTGTCTTCCATTTCCGACTTTTCCTCCCTCCACATTCCCATTTCTTTTTCTCTTTCTAATGGTCTACTTCCTTCTCTCAATGTTGACCCTTTGGTTAATGTTCTACCCGCTGTAGATAGTGTTGCTGATGTTTCACTTTCTTCTCCTCTTCCACCTCCTCCTACTTCTGTGGATTGTTCTGCTTCTCTTCTCTTCTCTTCTCTTAATTCTTCTGTTCCTACTTCCCTGTCCGATATTAGGACAAAAAATAAACTCTTCCGCACCTATGAGAATGTTCCCACTCTTGTAGACTCTGGGTCTTCAGACTGCTTCATCGACGACAAATTTGTGAAGGAGCTGGCCCTGAAGACATATCAGATTAAACCTCTACAACTGCGCCTTTTCGATGTAACCTGTGCCATCGATATTCCCCTCCACTTTGCTTCCGGAAACATCACCCCCACGACTTTCTTTGTCACATCGCTGGATGGATCTTGTTCTCTAGTCCTAGGACACAACTGGCTTACCTGCTACAATCCATTGATTGACTGGGTCTCAAGCAGTATTACATTCCGAACTCCTGAACTAACCAAGACAGTTACTCCAAGCTCTCCCCCATCGTCTCTGGCACCACTGCTGTCGTCCGACATCCAACCATCTGATGTTCTGTTAGCACCTCAGCCCCAGGCTCCCATTTCTCTGGTACCATCCATTGAGTTCGTCAGCCATTCCACATTCATGAAGGCTTGTTGACTTGAAGGATCAGTATCCTTCAGCCTGACCATCCCTTCCCAGGAAAGCTGCCTAAGGGCTGCCTCCTCCCACACCGATTCTGTTGACCTTTTGGCTGTTCCAAAGGAGTACCACAAGTTCGCAGGCATGTTCAGCAAGAGCAAAGCCTCAATGCTAGCACCGCACCATGAGCACGACCTGAGATTGACCTTGAGGAAGGCACTTCACCACCCTTGGGAACTATGTATTCCCTCTCTACTTCGAAACTTGAGGCTCTCCAGGCATTCTTAGATGAACACCTAGCCTCCGGGTTCATATGTTGACTTCAGAGGGCTGAACAAGAAAGATCACTACACTTCCCTGCATCTCAGACCTCCTTGACACACCTAGCCATGCCACTGTCTATACCAGACTCGACCTCTGGCATGCTTACCACCTGGTTTGCATTGCGGCAGGCGATGAGTGGAAGACTTCCTTCCGCACGTGCTATGGTTCCTATGAGTGGCTCATCATGCCATTTGGTCTCACAAATGCACCTGCAACCTTCCAGCGATTTGTCAACATGATCTTTGCCAACCTCTTGGACGTTTCTGTGGTAGTCTACCTAGACGACATCCTTACCTACTCGGAAGACATGGCTTCACACCAGGAGCATGTCTGAGAAGTTCTTAGGAGACTCTGCAAACACAGCCTATATGTGTAAGGGGTTGGTGTAGGTTCCAACCCCAGTTCTCCTCAATCCTCAGGTCGTCAATAAAGTTGAGCTGTATGGAGCTTTAATTATCAATGATGGGGAGGAAAAGGAGTTCTCTTCCTTTTCCCAAATTCCCATGTTATTGTATATACATGTTTATTATGAGACACATATAGAATGAAGATAGGAATTAAGGGGTTGGGTTACCACTCCTTACAATATGCCAATCCAAAGAAATGCAGATTTCATACGGATACTACGGTTTCTCCCTCCAGACTCACCATGTCCATCGAGAAGGTCCAAGCCATCCAAGGTTGGCCTGAGCCCCATAAAGTCAAGGATGTCCAATCCTTCCTTGGCTTTGCTAACTTCTATCGGTGTTTCATCCACCAATACTCCGACATTGTGGTCCCCTTGATGTGCCTCACATGTAAAGGGGCCCCCTGGCTCTTCTCTGACGACTGTCATTCTGCCTTCAACACTCTGAAAGAATCCTTCATGTCAGCCCCCATCCTGATGCATTGGGTACCCAATGCCCCTCTCATTGTAGAAACTGATGCCTCCGATTACGTGATCTCTGGAATCCTTTCCATCCGTTGTGATGACGGAGAGATTCACCCCATCGCTTTCTGCTCTAGAACACTTTTGGCACCGGAGCTCAACTATGACACCCGTGATAAGGAACTGCTCACCATTCATGATGCGTTCCGATCTTGGTGTCACTATCTTGAAGGTTCAGGAACCCCAATCATCGTCGTCACTGACCACATGAACCTCGAGTATTTCTCTACCACCAAACTCTTGACTCAGTGGCAAGCCCACTGGTCAGTGTTCCTCTCCTAATTCCACATGACTGTCCGTCTGATTCCATCCCAGAAGACTCGGAGTAAAACCAGATGTGTTGACTAGATGCTGGGATGTTGAAAGAGGGCTAGCAGCTCTCTATGCTGACTAAGCTTGTGGGGCCAAACTCTCCAAAACTCCTACTCTCTCTCTTGACTTAACTTCGCTACACTTGATCCTTAACTCCGGTGTGGGTCCTCCGGGATTCCGCAAGGTCCAGGCTCAACTAATCTACTACCCACTTGTTGTGGGCTAGACAGTTGCCCTTATTCCTACTGTTGGATTCCACTCACTCACACCCACTCTAGCGTGTCCTAGCACCTTAGAGAATTTGGGGGAGGGGAGAACTTCTTTTCAAAATCCGGTATGTACAGGATTATATCTAATAATTATTTTTAGAAAGAATAGATGGCAAATATTGGTGCCATATGGCACCTGGGTACCTTATTAGGCGAAATAATAAAAAAGGGTAACAGTAACAATAAAAGAATATCAATCAATAAGTGAAATATGATGGTGAAATATAAAATATAAGAAAATAAGCGATTTCTTAACAGATTTACGGAATTAAAAGCCGAAATTAGAAATGTGACTGAATAAAACTATTATGCGGCCAATGAGCATTTTTACCGATTTATTAGACGCCGTGGGAACGAGTGAGGCTGGAATTCTGGGTTGCCGCTTGAGATTCCCACGCCCGCACATACTCGTGACCTGCTGTGCCTAACTTCTCCAACACGGAACTCTGTCAAATCTCCACCGATTAGGACGTTCTTGATATCGTCGGAATCGTACGAATTAGCACTATTTTTAGATACCAATTCCGTACCGAGTCGTCACGTGAATAGAAGTGGTTTTCTAATCGTGGAAGCAGGTATCCGAGCCGAGTCTGTGCGTGCGCGATTATCCTGCCTACAACATCTATCCCAAAGAAGAGGATATGGACTACACTTGTGTCAATCTGCAGAACTTCTGACCAGTCTTCACTTCGGAGCAGCTCACTGCATCCTTACGAGCTATGTTTCTAGCTGCCACAGTAATCCAGGCAGCCGTACTCATCAACACAGAGGCTCTCCATCAAGACATTCTATCATCTCTCTCCTCCAACACCACAATCTCTTCTCATCTCGCTTCCCCCAACCTCCCCAATTCCCACTGGTCCATTGATGCCGAAGGCCTGTTAAGGTTGGACAATCGCATTTACGTCCCAGACTCTAACGATCTTTGTCTCTGCGTATTGCAAGACAAACATGACCACCAGCTCTCCGGACATTTCGGTCAAAACCGGACTCTGGAGCTAGTGGGTCGTGATTATACCTGGCTGGGTATTCGTACCTTTGTCAAGAACTATGTGTCCTCTTGTACTTCTTGTGCCCATGCCAAAGTTCCTTGTCACAAGCCTTATGGCTTACTCAAACAACTCCCCATTCCCGATCGCCCTTGGAACTCCATCTCCATGGACTTCATTGAACAGTGACCCTCCTCTTCTGGATTCACTTCCATCTTGGTCGTCGTGGACTGCCTGTCCAAACAGTGCATCTTGATTCCTACTCATGATACCATCACCTCTCTGGAACTGGCCAAGCTATTCCTCCTCCACACGTTCTCCAAGCATGGAGTTCCTTCCCATGTCACCTCTGACAGGGGTCCGGAGTTTGTTTCTCATTTTTTCCATTCACTTGGTAAAGCCCTCAACATCCACCTCCACTTCACCTCAGGTTACCACCCCAAAGGAGATGGACAGACCGAATGGATGAACCAGATGCTCGAGCAGTACCTGTTAGAGACCAGAAGTGAGATGAAGGAGATGTCTCTTGGCGGAGGGCTTCGGCCTCAGCAACTCAGACCAGGAGCGCTGTGCCTAGTTACACATCTGTGCCTAGTTACACATCTGTGCCTAGTTACACATCTGTGCCCTAATTTACTTACTGGCAGCGAGAACTACAAAGGGGGATTAACTCTAGTCGATTTTATCACTAGGGTGTAACCTATCTACAAGTTATGTATATATAGTTACAGCGAGGGCGGGCCCATGAATGACAGGACCGAACAGAGCGGAGCTAACAGGGTTAAACATTAGCCAACTGAATATTACCGACAAGTCAGGTTACGGGGTTAGCAGAATGGCAGGGAAACGGAAAGGAGGGATAGGCCCAAAGGTAGACTTGCAGGGCAAGCAAGTGAATTGCCCAGCAGGGGCAGGAGTGCACTAGTGGACGTTGTAACGGGTCTATCGCCTAGACTCGAGACAGAGAGAAGGGGGAGGGTGGTAGTGTGCGCGGGTGTGGTTTGTGGAGCCGGGTTTTGGTCCTGGGGCGCTACCGAGTCTGCAAAAACCTCAAACAAACACTCACCTACGTCTCTCTTGGACGTCAAGGCTGAGTATTATGATGAGAGGGGTCTTAGACGTGAGCAACAATCTCAAGGGGGGCATTAGGGTCGTGGATGGCGTCTTTGCCACTTGGATGCAACTTCTGCTTGTCCCTTCACGGGTCTATTCAATACTAACTTGTTATGTACAAGCTGTTATCTAGTTTATATATGTTTGAAATGGAATGAATGGCATGGGGGGATGTAAACGGGCCGTTAGGCAACCGTAAATGATCAATATCCAATTGGGAACAAAGAAACAATAAAAGA